CCTTAGGTCAGAAGTGCCTCAATCCCCTTTTACCAGTGGTGAAGGGTATATGTGATGATACCTAACTCTCTTTCCCATGTCCGGGGACTATTCCTGATGCCTTGCTTGGTCCTCTCCTACCCCCTCCTCAGATGTGCCCTCACCATGTGGGGCACCTGCTGCAGCGAGAACAAGACCTTGGCTACTCCAGGAATATTGGTGACTCGCGCTCACAAACAGTGTGGGGAAAACAGAAAATCCCTATCAAATGGTGGTCATCTCTGCTGTTACCCAGGTGAACTGGATCTCTGAGGAGTGACCAGCTACTTTGATTCTTAGTCTTGCCTGTGATACCCTATCATCTCTGGCCAATCCCTCCAGTGTACAGGGAGACTCAGTGTTCAGCATGGGAGCACATCTGAAGACCCAAAACGGTCATGGTTTGACAGCAGGGAGAAAATAGGGGAGAGTTTTTTTACTGTTTTAAAATGTAAATAAGGAGCATCACCCCCCAGGGTCACTAGCAGCAGTGCTTCCTTCTGACCTCAGAGATGAGTTAGGTCTTCAGCTGAGTTTTGAGTAGAAGATAAAATTCAGAAGCCATTCAGGAATGCAGAGGAAAACACAAAAGCAGTGTGGGCAGGGGCTAGGAAGGGGGCTGCTGCCACCAACACCTGTGGTGGGCAGCAGGGGGGACAGACGCATTTGATGCTGCACTAATCCGGAACCTTGAGGTCTCAGACCTATCCCCTGACCTAAGATTTAGTGTCTGTTTGCCATCATGAGCAACCGGTGCTAAGAAGCAACCCTCACTTCTCACCGCAGCTGTGGTGGTATCTGTTCCAAGGGGAGCCCAGCGCTCCCTGGAGGACAATGAAATGTGGCACCTTGTACCAGTGCTGCTGGTTTGAGAGGATAACCTGTGCAGCACAGATAAGGACAAAGCAGGTGCTGTACAAAGCCATTGTGTTTGACCATCACAACGCAACCCTGAGCTGTTCATGCAGGCACATACGTACAGAAATGTATATGACATGAAGTTACATATTTGTGGGTAAAACTGCGTGCATATACACACACATATATTCAAAATTCAGGGGATAACAAGTAAGCTGAAATGAATCTGCATGAAATGGAAAAAACCCATATCATATTTAGACAGATATACCCAAAACTCACATGCACAGACATGTCACATTTTATACATCTGTAAAACTTTACTTGCAACCACCAGGAGATTGGCTTATTTATACTCATAGTTACTTCAAGACAACATTAAAACTTATGAATTAGGATGACTGATCCTCCTTTATATAAGGGAGAGAGCTTGCTTGGAGCTTTCTGTATAGAAAAACTACATACGCCAAATTTTGCATAAACACACAAAACTGATAACCATCATATTAATAAATAGCACAACAGAAAAATATCTTTCCGCTGTCTGCTGCTGCTTTGCTAAAAAATGTCAGAAAATTTAATTCCTTCTCTATCAGGTGGACAGCAAAATGAAAAGAAAGTAAAAGGTTTTCTCTTGCAGTTCAAACAGCCGTGTAATGTTTAATGAGCAGAGCGCACCGTCAGTGCCAGTCTGGAAGGAAAGCTGACTCTACCTCTTTGATGCTGAACTTTCACATCATGATTATGTGGTTCCTTATTCATGGAAATAACATCCTAACCATAAAATATATGATAACTAAACCTCATGAATGGTGTTAAGTAAGCAATTTGAAGTGCTTTTTCTGGTATGGTTCCTCCATGGGCTGACAGTGATTTTTTTTGTCTGACATAAATATGCATGAAGCCTCACTTACGCTTCTTCCCTAAACCTCAGAACCACCATGCACAAATGTGTTTGCTAAGTAAATGGTTTTGATGACTCCAACATGACTCACACTGCTAAGTACTCTTTACACAATTAAAAGTTTATAAAATTAATTTTTTTTTCTTTGAGAAGCCCTGAGCCTGGCTCTGCTGAAATCAAGGCAGGGCTTGAGATGTGGCGATTCTAGTGGGAGAAACACTGCTCTCATAGCTACAGCCATGGCAGGTCCTTCACAGAAATGGTTTGCTCTTGGGTTTGAACAACAACCAGCAGGATGGTTCAAGTCAAAAAAAAAGAGCCTTTACCAAGAGAACAGTGTTAGCAGAGGCTGTGGATGTGCTTTGGCTTTATGCTGTGAAGCCACTGGGACTAACCACAACATGTGAAACCAGAGGCACGGGTAGCCACCTGCAGGATCAGTGACCAAATTTCCAAAGCCAATAAAGTGACCATCTCCATGGACAGTCACACAAAATCTCTAAGGCTGATCTGGTTCAGGCAGAACTCACTTTAATTGTAACACTTTTGATGTGGGTTGGACAAACCATACAAGTCCAGGTAGGAGGGCCACTGAAGCCAGCTGTCTTGCCCACGAGAGCAGGCAGCATGCTGCCTCCTGTTCCCCCTGCCTGTGCCCTCCTGCGCCTCCGCAGCTGCCACTTCTTAACTCCGCTTGTAGCTATTTTAGGGCTTTTGGGGATCTCCACCACCTCTGCCAGGCTGGGGGACAGAGTTGAGGAGGCAGTCTGCCACTCAGAAAAGAGGAGATGAAGGCAATTGCTGCAATGAGCTCTTCCACCCTCTGCCCATAAGAAGGGTCTGAGCTCACACCTGCGTTGGCTGGTGGCACTTTGCCAGGAGGTAGGGCAAGCCGGAAGGGCGAAGAGTGAAAGCCAAACATCCATCATGAGTCATTTTACCCTGGATTGTTTAATTTGTTGGTGAAACCCATGAGACTCATAAAGAAATCATAAAAAATGCTAATTGCTCAGTGGGGATCTTCTGAATCTGTTTGTCTTTAATTCTAAGCAAAGTATTAGCTATGGTTTACTGGAAGTTAGTGACAAAACAAGGAAAGGTCCAGTCACATCTGCTTTCAGGAAGCCCTGAAGATTTCAGTGACACCACCAATAAATCACTAACATTGACCGTTTGTCACTGTAGCTGCTTGCCAAAGCTGAGTCTAAACAGCTGCAGATTGTATAAATAAAAGGCAAACAGAAAAAACAAGGTTGTTAGATGCAGTTCTAAGCCACTCCGTGTTTTCTTCTAACTAAAAACCTTACCAAGCATATCCTATGTATGTATGTTATAATACATGACACACAGGGGAAAATGAGATTCCCTATCTGTGAGGTAGTACAGGAACACAGCCATTATCTTTCTAAAAATGGAAACTCTTTTGCTCCCAAACAATGGAGCTCTAAAACTATCAGTAACTGACTGACTGCCCATGTCCTTCAGGCACAGTTTAAGGAGCTCTGTCACTGCTGTTTGTTTAGTGTTAAACAAGTAGAGTTTAACAGATCTGGAACTGACTCTAAATCCAATTTTTCAGCTCCCTTTGAGAAAAGGAACAGCAGATAGAAACAGTGGTTTTATTGCTGCTCTTCGTGTTTTGATTTCTGATTTTGAGGCTGCTAAATAATTTTGAGTTGTCTAAATGAGTTAATGAAATCTGCAATAAGCCTGACTTTAAACTGTTGAGTTGATTCATAATTTTTTTGTGAGTAAGGGATGAATTCTCTTAGTGATGGGCTGTAGTATTCTGCTTCAGCCATACTACAAGAGAGTTTGGGACTATTCCCATATATACCTTATGCAATCGCTTAAAGAAAAGCAGAAAAAGTTTGTCTTTTGAAGTGCAACAGCTTGGGCCAAGTTAGAGGTATATTGAAACAGAATCATAGAATCATAGAATCATTAAGGTTGGAAAAAGACCTCAAAGGTCACCAAGTCCAACCATCAACCCAACACCACCTAACCCACTAAACCATGTCCCTAAGTACCACATCTACACGTTTCTTGAACACCTTCAGGGATGGTGACTTTTCTTTGGAGGACACTGCCAAGAGCAAGAGAAGCCAAAACCTCACCCCTTTCTGACGGTAGCTCAGAGTGACCATGGACTGCAGAAGAGGGAAGCAGCTCCCCACCCCCAGACATAACTCCTCACATGAAGGCTAGGTACATGACAGAGAATTAACAGGCCTGATTTTGCATGCCCTCTGCATACAGGAATGGTTTCCTGCATTTCATGAGAACTTGGACATTACAAGGACAGTGGACTTGGGAATTAAATTAAATAGGTATCCTCCAGCTCCACATCTGCTTCAGGTACTGGTGGTAAAAGAAAGAGACTGGAGGCTAAAACACTAACACATTTAGCCCAGCAGTTGCATTTGAAGCTCTTAACTCAGGTTCTTCAAGATTGTACATGAGTGGAAAGATTAATATGAAATGACTCACCATCACCATCTGCTGAGGTGCAACCACTTTCCCCAAAAGTGGTGTGAAGAAACAAGGCGAAAATGCTCAACACTGTACTCGTCTGTGTCATCCTGAGCATGCTGCATGTATGCAGTACGTGTGCCTGTGAAACCCGCGCTCACTTACTTTATACTAGATGCCGAACAAACCCATTGCCTGATAAAGAGACCGCAGGCAAGGGGAAATGTAAACATGCTGACAAGGATGACTAGTGGCAGAGAGCAGGAAGCCAGCATGAAGATATTTGCCGAGCTCTTACTTTGAAACATGCCTCCCCCTTCAAAACTAAGGACTTTCTGAATCAGGCCCATTGACACATTAGGCCAAATATGGTCAATTTTGGTGGCTCAGGAGCATGTTTCATGGACAGTGCTCCTCTCTTGGCCGCTGCTGATTTCCCTGAGAGCACTGTTTAGTCCTCTTATTCACTTTTCTATGAAAAGGAAAAGAAAAGAAAGAAAGACGGAGAGAAACTTTTTACCAAGGCCTGTAGTGACAGAACAAGGGGCAATGATTTTAAACTGAAAGAGGGTAGATTTAGACTGGACATAGGGAAGAAATTTTTTACAATGAGGGTGGTAAGACATTGGAACATGTTGCCCAGAGGTTGTGGATGCCCCATCACTGGAAACATTTAGGTAAGGCTGGATGGTGCTGTGTGCAACCTCACCCAGTGAAAGAAGTCACTGTACAAAGCAGGGGAGGTGAACTACATGAACTTTAAAGGTGCCTTCAGCCCAGACCATTCTATGATTCTATGAAGTCCCACATATGGCAATGCCGACCCAGAAAAGCTGTGATTTAAAAGACTAATCCTGCAAAATCTGGTTCCTGAGAGCAAAGTGATCCATCTGACATTTTTTTCAGGCTTTGGACAAAACACAGGCAGAAAGAAGAAGACAAAGAGGTGTTAAATATTTCCTTTGCACACTTCATGTGCCTGTATACACCAACGCATACTGGAGCATAATGCAGGGCCACATACGCAGCTGACAGATGTGGCCAACTACAAGCGAGCTGAAGACCTGGAAGAGTCTGCACTGGCTGCACCAAAGAAGTTTTATGTTGGAGGCATAAAGGAAATGGAGGGCAAAGTTAGTAACAGTGCCCAAGCAAAGAGAAACATGATGACACTATAAACAAGGAGCCTTAGTACAGAAGCCACAGCAGCTTTTTCATTTGCAAGGAAAAAAATTAAACCACTCACCAAAATGTTGAAAGCTCAGCCCTTACATCTAAAAAAGTGTCCTTCTTTCCAGGATGTCAGGGACTGTCCTCCGTTGTCACTTGCTGTCCTGAGCAGGGGTCAGTGGGTAGCCAAGGGGGTGTTCCTGGGCTCCCTTGACCTATTTTAGTGGGAAGAAATGTCCCCCTTTCCATGAGAGCTCAGTGTGGCCTCCCAGAACATGGAAATCTCCCACACCTGTGTCAAGTCCCTCCTCATGGTAGGACCCTGAGGCTCCTCAACAAAATGTTCCCTGAAGGTGCACTAAGTCTAGGCAGATACAGAAAAAATGGGTTTGGATTAATTGGTCAGAATGTAGGTATTTACAGTGTATATTCCTATGTCAGAGCTTCTCATGCTTCACTCCCATCTAGCCAGCAGAGAGCACGATTCCTCTCATCATAACATAGACATCGAAAAGATGTCTGAATAAATTTATTTCTCTCCATTGAACACAAAAAGAGGCCAAGGTGAGATGGGGGTTAGATGTTGCCTGGCAGACCTCTATGGTACCTCCCACGCACAAACAGGGGAGAGACCTGCCAGGCCACAGCGACCACCCGTACAAAGCAGAGCAGGAGCTGGACACAGCACCAGGGCCATGGAGCCACTGAAGATAGCAGTGCCATGGTCTGACCGGTCCTCACACAAGAGCTTGACTTTTACAGAAGTATTTGGGGCACTGCTCCATTCACACAGTATACCTTCAAGAAATACTGTCTCTCAGAGGTCAGGTCAGCTGGGGGGACTTTGGGAGTTGATAGTCCTCATCGCTTCTTCACAAGTTTCCTACGCTTGACCGAAACTCTTTGAAACCAAACTTCAATCAACAAGATTGGGACCTGGTGACCACATCCTTGAGATCTACCCTGGCTTGCTTTAGAAAAGTTTATGTAAGGAGTTCAGCACCTCACTTAATATTCAATATAACATTATTCTAGAAACTCTCAGGCTAATTTCTACCTCATTTTCAGACTGAAATATCAATAAAGGAGGTCTCTCCAGTGCAAACCGGAAATGACACTTTCTCACTTTAAATTTGTCTTGTTTATAACTGAGTGGGCTATCACTTTGATCTTTTTTTTTTCTTTTTTCCTGTTTCAGCTGGAGCAAAGTAAAAGAAAAAGACTTTTCAGACATAATATTTTGGTTGAATCTGAAGACTTATTATCAGAGCTGTGCCACTCAGGGGATTTCCATGTTGTCATAGCTGCATTATGTCTGGGTGGGGAAATGAGGGACCACGATGAAAAGAAAAAAAATAGTATAGAGAAAAACTCTGAAGTAAAAGTATATTTTGTTTTACTCCTGTGTCTCTGCTTCAGAAGTTGTTTGTTTTCCAAGAGGTATTTGAGTTCACTGGTCTTACCTTTTTGCCTTCCTCTAATGCCCTGGAGATACGAAATCAAATTTGTGAGAGTCCGAATCTTAGGGCAGATGAAGTGTTTTTAGTACCCAGAAGAGGATAAAAGAAGACTAGATTACTTTCCATTTGCAACAACTCCTCCCCTAGACTCATAAACTGGCACCATATCAACAAAGAGACCTGTTATACTGAGGGAAGAACACAAAAAAGTTAAAGAAACATTGCCAGGTGAAGGCTGAAGCAGGAGGGACAGCTGTCCACTTTGGTCAGGTGTTCATATATTACAAGATCAGATCCCAAAACAGGCAGGCAAAAAGAGGTGAACAATATTTTTTCCTAAGTAACATTTACAGCATCATTAGTAACAAGAAGAGTCATATTAATGCTTATTTTGTTTGCTTTCTAGTTTCTAAGTCCTTAGAGAGGGCTCAGGATCATATTTTCAGTTTTTCACAACAACCTGAGTTAAAACATAGTTAAAGAAATGAAAGTTTAGATTCTTGTAACATTTTTTGGGTCTTAAAGAAATATATTAACTACTGCAAGACATATTACTCACTCATGAGCTCTGGTAGGAGAACACAAGTCGCCATAAGACCACTGTGCTTGCTCAACAACAACTTCCATACACAATGCTCAGACAAAACACTGCCATTTTGATGACAACAAAGCATTTTGTGCAAAATACTACAATCTGACATTGAAAGGAGAGTGGTTGGAACTCGATGATCTTTAAGGTCTTTTCCAACCTTAACCATTCTATGATTCTATGATTGATTCTATGACATCTGCAATTTTTAAGTTAAATACATTTTATTTTTTTTCTTTTTAATGAATTTAGTTTTTAAATTTCCTTTGGTTTAAAAACTTGAATTACTAAAAAATTATTTGGTTTCAGCTGAATACATTCTTTAAGAATCTGCCCACTGCAGCTGTGGCTGCTTTTGGATATTTAATATTTAGCTGGGGGTTTCCTGCCTGCTTACACCATTCCAAAAAAAAAAAAGCCAAGGAGATGTAGGAGGGTCCACGCCTAATGTGTGACTAGTCCATGACACAGACCTGGACTCTTTTCTAAGCCCCAGCTGAAAAGTGAGCGTAGACCCCAGCAAATAGGACAATGGGAAGGAGTGAAAAGAAGCAACATGATGACATGTATCTGTAAAACAGAAGAAAATTTGAAGGAATAAGTCCTGATGGAAATCATCTTTAGAGAGTTAAGGCTGGTTGCATGTGCAAAAGGACAGGAGGAAGCTGAAATAGCATTTGCAATACTTATATTTAATGTGATTCGAATGTGGGGCTTTGCCACTGCCATGTAGGCAGGAGGGAGGCAGCCAAGGAGGGAGGGAGGCAGCCAAGGAGGGAGGCGATGAGGGAGGATGTGCACTCAGGCAGCAGAGCTGGCGTGAGGGCGGCAGCACCTACTTACTTCTCCCCTTCCCTCCCATTCAGGTAGGCACAAAATCCACATCTGCCTGGGTGCAGTACGGTGTGTAAGTACTGCCAGTACTTTGGTAATAGCTGTTGCAGTTATGAAAGTGGACAGAAGTGGAAGCTGAAACTTCAGGAAAAAAATCTGGCATGATGCACAGGTGGTGCAGCAGAGCTGGGGTGCCCGTGGTTCCCAGGGAGCTGTGAGAGGCTGGAAGATGGGAAGGACCATGGCCGCGATGCTGAGTGCCCCGCTGTTGGGCTGACCCTGCCAACGTTTGTCCCCTCATGCCATCCCCATGGGTTTTGTGCTGCAGCCGTCTAACACTGACCCCCACGGTGGCCAGGTCCTCGTCCCTGCACCCAGAGAGAGGGATGGGCCCTCACAGGGAGGCAACTCCTCCAGAGAGAGGCTTTTAGGAGGATGACAGGTTTCTAAACCGAGGTTTGTGCTGTTTAGTTGGATATGAAGTGGATTTGGGTGGCACCTCAGGTGGATCAGGACGCTGAAGGCAACCTTAAATATTAGCATGGATTCCCTTTGCTTTCACTTACACACCTCAGTACTTGTTGGTCTTCCAGTGGCGTAACAAGCAGCTCTGAAAAGCCAGCTACAGCCATACTGACCATTAGCCATAAGGATACCAGAATTTATTGGTTAAGATTAGCATGGTTGGATGTAGCTTCATCAGTGAGGCTGAACTCATGAAAACATTTTTAAAGGCTGTTTTTTTAAAAACCATTTAATATGCTTAAGAGAATGAGGACCAGATAAACGTGAGATAAAAAAAGGTCACAAAAGAGAATAATAATTTAAATGTATTTACAGTTAAAAAATTTTAAAAATCTCTTTCCCGGTATGAAACCTAGTCAGAAGTAGAGGAACTGAGAAAAACGTACAAGAAAATGAAATTGTAACAGAAAAAAATCCCATATTGTGACCAAACATTATCAAAGGTTAAAAAAAATACATAATTAAAATGATGTGGTTTGGCACAAATTTTGGGCACTGAGGTGTTTATCTATTAAAAATTAATTACAACTATGTCATCTCAATAACTTAAATAGGAGTAATGTTTGAGAGCTCATTAAGTTGAGACACTTCATGCCAGAAAACCACAGGAAAATACACATGATCAACCTGAAAGGTTATCCTCCATTTTAAATGCCAA